CGCAACGGAACGGGGGGTCGCGATTTGCAGCTCGGCTCGATGAGATGTCACGAGCTGAGTGGCCGCCACGACGAAGCAATGAAGAGGCAGCGCACGCTCATGGCCGAGATCGAGAAGCAGAAACGCCTCGACGATTTTGCCAACACAGACAAGGAAGGCGCTCGGCTTACTCGATTCATGCGCGGCATTGAATTCATCTGCGATCACGACGCCCCGATCGCCATGTTCCCGAAGCTCATACATTTCCTTGCAGAAGAGGGAGTCGCCGACATACCGCTTCAGTCCTACGGCGTTTACATTACACATTAAGTCTATCGTATTTGGTTTTTATATTGCGATGTGTCACCTTGAGTAGCAATGTATCTGACAATTATTTGACCGTTCCCCGCATATTGTTGCAGGTACGGCTTCAACGAGATGGCCGCGGCGATGGCAAAGTACCAGAAAACACAGCAGCTGCAGCATCTTCTCGCTTCACCCTTCGTGGGCCTTACCTGCAACGAGAGCACCGACCGCGCGCGTGGCAAACACTTGATTGTGTTTTCCACGTTCCTCAAGAACGGCGTCGCGGTCACAAAGTTCTTGGCGCTGCTGACTGTGCATAAGTGCGACGCGTCTTCTATTTTCGGGGTGCTCACGAGCCATCTAGACTCTATCAGCCTTGACATCAAACGTGTGGCCGGCATGGGGACCGACGGTGCGTCTGTGATGACGGGGGAGAAGAGCGGCCTTGTAACCCGCGTGCAAGAGCGCATTCCGCATCTCGTCGGGTGTCACTGCGTAGCGCATCGGTACGACAACTGTAGCTTTGCAGGGTTTGCGTAAGCATTTTGTTACGTAAAATCCCATTTTCAAATGTACCTTACTTACTTCTCAACTCTGATGCAGGGAGGCTCTCGTGGTCAAGGATGCAGCGAAAGCATTCCCAGACCTCAACATGATCGATGCTGCTGTGCGTGCCGTGGGAGAGATCATATGCCGCTCTAACATCTGGTACGAGCGGTTCAAGGAGCTGCAACACGAGATACACCGTACAAACCTGAAGCACCAAGGGTTATTCAACGTACGGTGGCTGTCGCGGGGAGACGCAATAGCGAGGCTGTGCAGAGTTTTCGGGGCGGCGATCGTCATGATTGTGGAGTACGACCACAAGATCGCTGCAACAGTGCAAACGTTCAAGTTTCATTTTTGTTTGTATTTCCTGGCAGACATCCTTGCAGAGCTTAATGCGCTCAACCGGTTTTTCCAGCACCGCAAGGCAAGTGTGTAGTCAACTTTAAGAAAGTAGGGCTACAATCATTTTTACTCTTGCTAAAATGTTTTTCATGCCCGATGTTGTACAAGTGGACACCACGCAAGTCGCCAAACAAGTTGACCGCACGATCACCATCATCTCGCACCGTTACATCGTGTACGGCGAGACTTTCGGAGGCGGGGTCAGCAAGCTGCTGTCCAAGTTCATCAAGGAACACGGTGGGGACAATCGGACGGTGGTGGTTGAAGGGGTTGACTCGGAAGGGCGGCAGACTTCACATCGTTTCGAGCTGAGCGAGACACCCATCAAGAAACACAAGTTCGGGGGCACGCTTGCTGACTGTGAGAAGTTGTGCACGGGTTTCGCGAAGGAGATCGTGGCGAGGATGAAGTTCCGCATGTGGGACTTGCAGCAGATGGGTGGCGCGAAGCTGTTTCAAGTGGAGTCTTGGCCATCCAGGGAGGACCAACGCGAGTTGAAGACCCGTGAGTGGCTGGCAGCGAACGATAAGCTGTTTGGCGGCATGCTTCCAGGTGAGATTTCATTTTAGTTCAAGCGTATTATTTCGTATAGCGCACTGTACCTGACACTACCACAGTAACCAACAACCAACCCTCCCTTACATCCGTCGCCCCAAACCCCATCCACGTCAGGATTCGATCTCAAGGCGGCGAATAAGGAGCTGCGGAGCTTCTATCACATCTTGTCACGTCATCACGCGGGGGAAGATTTCCACCAGGGACTTACGAGCATGTTGAAGAGCAGGGATTGGCGACGCAGCTATCCGAACCTCGTTACACTCTGGCAGGCCCTCGCAGTGCTGCCACTGAGCACAGTGGAGTGTGAGAGAGGATTCAGTCGCCAGAATATCATCAAAAGCTGGATGCGCACATCGCTGTGCGATGCCCGCCTTGGCGACCTCATGACGCTGCACATGCTCAAGTACCCATATGTATGGGCCGACGTGGTGGACATCTGGCGCAAGCATAAAACCAGAAGGCCCGCGAAACCTGTTGCGCATGCGACCCAGGTGGACCGGAAGGGGAAGGAGAAAGTTCCAGAGCCTGCTGAAGCATCAGACGACGAGCTAAACCCATGTGGCATGTATGATGATGATGATGATGAGTAAATTCGTTATTGAGTGCAACGATATAATCAATTCATAAGGGTTTGCAAATATGGTACACTGATGCAACTGGGTTGGATTTTAAAAAACAAGAGAAAACCTGATGGATCAGGGTTTGAACCAAGTGTCACACTGATAAAGAGGTTTTTGAACAGGTGCAACACTGATCACAAGGGTTGCCCAAAACCAAAAATTAGGCCTGTTGTGTATACTGTGAGGCTGGCTCTGAAGGCCATGTGGGCATAGCCAACCAATAACTTCGTAGTATAGTTTTATATGAACAGAGAGGAAAGTATTATTGCCCAGTAACAACGAGACAACCATGGCATACAGTGAGTGAAAGATGTGACATAGAAAGTCCCACATTCACGAAAGAGACGCATTGCAATTGGGATAAGTATAGTTACAGATTAGGTTTGGGCGCCGTACGTTACTAAAGGAGTTCCTTTATATGCAGGTAACGAGAAACCCAAAGCCGAATTGCACACTCGCTGCCAACTACTGTAGCTTCCAAATCGCCTTCCTCGCCTTGCTCGTTGTCCCTTACGCTCGCGTACTTGCTGGATTTATCGGTTCGGAAGGAATGCGCTGCCGTCGTTGCAGTGGCGCCGCCTTCCCGTCATCTTCCCTTTGCTGTGTACGGAACCGATCTCGGTTGGGGTGTGGTCTGGCTAGACCAGGCCGCTTGGCTGGCAGTGTTCCCCTTGACTAAATTACAGATGTTCTGGCTTAGAGGCTCTTCCTAAAAGAGGCCCTTTTCCTCATCGAGTAAAATTTTAACATATGCCCCAAGTGTATCCCCTCCTCTACAGTCTCTTTTTTGGCGGGAAATCTTGCATCTTGACTGAATCATTGCACGAATCAGTTCCACAGCCAATCAGAGGACGCAAATCGAACCAGTCAGAGCATTTACGGAAAATAATAGAAAGGAAGTTTTGATTCACTATTTGCTTTTGCGGTTGTGATTGTCTGCTTATCTTTACCGCGCTTGTGTCGAAGTCCTGTCTCGCGGTTCCCCGCGAGCTCCGACAATGCCATCTCATTAATCTCGCTTACAATGTAAAACGAAAAATGTTGTCTGTCATTTCGGCTTTGAACATATTTGTTTTGTATTTGTCTGCCCGTTTGTCCTGCGACATATCAACGCGGCGAACCGTGCGACGAGAAGTTGAAGACAGCGTAGTCCGAATGTACGTATGTGACAGGAAAACACGATTAGTAGCGAAGGAAAATCACTCTTTCAGCAATTGTCCTTGTATGGGACTATAAGTTCCCTTTTGCCCGGGGTTTGTAAGTTTTCCACAAAGGCCCGCAGTGCGCGTGTTTTTTACCGGGACTATAATCGAGAACATTTTGTAGACACAGTAGGTTTGCTTCACTCCGTCGCCTAGCTCACAAGTGGTTCCTAAAATACTGTGCTACTACATTACCCTCTCCGCTACTCTTCGCCCACCCTTCCCTTCCCCTTCCCCCCCCCCCCCCCCCCCCACCTAGCTCAAACACGAGGTCCCAGCGCCCCAGCTTTCGGCTTCGACTGCTGAGGCCCGAGACAAAGCCATTTCCTCCGAGCGGAGCGGAAAACCACGGGCGAAGGCGCGATCGCTTGCGTTGGCTCGCGTTGATGGATTGCGCCACAGGCGCCACTTTCCATCAATTCCCGAGCCTTCCTGCCACCATGTTCCCCGACGAGCCTTCCTGCCAATGCGCTTTCAACACGCGCCCGACAATGCCCAATGCACTTGCCAATGCGCAAGGCAGGTGGACCTCCCTTGAGTGACTTTCACTGTCCCATACCCCATCGCCGCAAAATTTTCCTCCCCCCTCATGCACATCGCCACCGCATCCTACGTCCGCTCGCCTCGACTCGCCTCGCTCCGGCGGGGCTGCTGGCGTCTCTATTCCCCCCACCTACACTTCAGGAAGTGGAGGCAATGCCAGCCAGCGGTACGCTGTAAATTCACCCACATCGCATCGTATCGCAGCGCATCTATCTGGTGGCGAGCCCCACTGTCACAATGTCCCCCTCCGCCGCGACGAGCCGCGACGGCGGATCATCTTACTGTACTCCCAGCTTAGCCGTTGCTGCCATACGAACGAAACCCCCGTTGCTGCCATCGCGTAGTACGCGATGTAGGCCTGGCCGACCTCCCCCCACCCTCCGCCGCTCTCCTCGCTCTCTCCCCGCCCCGCCTCGCCCCACATCCCCCTCAGCTCTCCTCGTTCTCTCCCAAACAATCTCCTTCCCAAGTTCCAAGGCGAGGCTCTCGTTCGCTCGTTCCCTGGCGGAAGCCTGGCCATTCGTGCGCATGATCGTGCGCATGTTCGTACGATCGTGCGCATGCGAGCGCTCAGCGTATATCTGATGATCAGAGCGGCTAGCCATCCTCGTCGCTCATATCCTTCCAGGTTTTTTTGAGTGGCACTCGTTCCGTTTCCCATTCCTTGTCTTCCACCCTTCACCTAGCTGATCTGCCTCGGGGTGGGCTATTATCTCTCTGACAGAAGACGCAGAGGCGTGCGATTTAGTACTAATAATAATCGAGCCGCGGCGTGCCGGCGGCGTCCAATTTCCACTCTCGTGACGGAGCACCGGCAGCAGACGTGAACCGAACCGCCAAAATGCCTCCGACCACGCTCGCGCGCCTCTGCGCCGTCGTCTTGGCGCTTCTCAGCGTGCTGATGACGGCGCGCGCGCAACCCCTGGCGGGGCCGCGGTGCGTGAACCGGTTTCCGCAGAAGCCGTTGTGCAAGTTCGTCGACGACCTCGCCGCGTCGCCGCTCACCTTCCTCGACGCGTCGGCCGGCGAGACCATCAAACTCGGCGCCTACGACGTCTACCAGGCAAGTGTGACGGTTCGCGTTTGCATTTGCGGTTCCTTTCGCATTTGCGTTTGCGACATTCCAGGTCTCGCTGCCACAATGATAATTCTCTACTCGCGAAAACCCCCGCTCACTCGGTCCACCTCCCCGCTTCCTCTTCCCTCCTTTCCTTCTTCCGCCCCCTCCCCCCCTTTACCCCCCTCTCTCCCCCTCTCTCCCTCCCCCCCCCACCCACCCGTCCCCCCGGTCTGCCCAACTTTCAGAAGTTCCATCGCGACCTGCCCGACACCAAGGTGTATGCGTACGGCGTCTCCCGCAGCTCGGCGCGCTACCCGGGTCCCGTGCTCGTCGCGAAACGCGGCACCACCACCAAGGTGAGCGCGACAGCACCTGCAAGGAGAGAGCAGCGTGGCCTGCACGGTGAGCGCGGCACCTTCGTCTGCTCCGCACCTTTGGAGGAGGAAGCAGCTTTCTTTGAGAGCTTTCAAAGCATCCCTTGTGCTTTCGTGAGAGCCTTTAAAGCGTCCCTTGTGATTTCAAACCGTCCCTCGTGCTTCTCTTATCCTATGATGTCAATCGATCATGGCTGTTTTGGATGCGCTTCGTGTAGTAACTTCTTTTACCACAACCTGCTTACTTAATTTCCCGATTCATATAAAGTCCCCTGATTCGCTCTTGTTCAATATGTTCACAATCGCAGGTGAAGTTCGCGAATCACATCAAGGACAAGACACACATGTTCACGATTGATCCGACGCTCATGACGCCTAAGCTCAAGAACGGCGGTGTGCCAATCAGTAAGTCAGGACCGTGGTAGTGTTGACATTAGCAACCAACCAACCAACCAACCAACCCGTCCTCGTTTCAAGTTCTTTGTCAGCGTCGGCTGGCTGGTACGTTTATTTTCGAGTCACTTCGAAGCGATTCAGTGTGGTGAATCGCGTTTCCAGTACGGCAGAAAGCGGTCCCCATTTTCTTCACTGACACGATGCACGCGTCTCTGGCGTTTCCAATCACTTTTTTCCTGAAACTCCGCCGTGCTACCACCTCCGTCTGTTCACATTGTTATCATCGCAGTCGTCCACAAGCATGGCGGTGAGACGCCAAGCAAATCCGACGGCCATCCCATGGCGTGGTACACAGCCTTCGGGGAGCACGGGCCTGAGTTCGAATCTGAAGAGAACACCTATCCGAACACGCAGCGCGCTACGATGCTGTGGTACCACGACCACACGATTGGCATAACCGCTCTGAACATGGCCGCGGGGATGGCGGGGCTTTACGTTATCCGCGATCCGCAGGGCGAGGAGAGGCGGCTCAAGAAGTGGCTGCCACGTGGCGAGCGGCAACTGCACCTCGTGATTGCTGACAGGATGTTTTTCCCGAACGGATCCATTAATTATCCGAACCAGGGCTTTGTGCCGAATGTACACCCGAACTGGATACCCGGCTACGTTGGAAATACAAACGTTGTAAACGGCAAGGTGAGACGAAGGGATGGCTTTGCTTTGTGTGTGTTTTTTACCAATGCAAGCTTGTGGTTCATGTAAGCATTGATATTGTTGTTCTAACTCCATCCCCATCTCTGACTACTCACGTTGTGCCATTCCCTTCCCCCACCGCTGTCCCTCAGGTCTGGCCGTTTCTCAGTGTTCGGCGAGCGATGCACCGGATTCGCATGGTGAATGCAGCCAACGCGCGCACGTATAACCTCACCTTCCAGTGCGCTGGCCGTGGTGACCACAACTTCAATCCCCCTCTTGCTGGACCCGTGCTGCCCTTCTACCTGGTGAGATCAAGAGGCGCCTCGCTCTCTCCGATGTGAAAAGGTCGTCCGTTACCCAATTAATCACCGTTCAAGTTGACTAGATTGATCACCTGTTGGAGGACCCCTGCTATTCTTCACCTGGTGGGAACTAGTTCCACCTCTCCTCTCTTCAACCCTTCCTCCCCTCCCACTCTCCCCCCTCCTCTTCCCCTCTTCTACTCACCACTCTCCTTCGTTTCCCCCTCACGTGTGCCGCCATCCACTTTTCCCTTCTTCCGTTCTGCTTCCCTTTTGCCCATCTGCTTCCCTTTTGCCCATCTGCTTCCCTTTTGCCTTTCTGCCTCCCCATAACCAGATCGGCTCTCACGGAGGCTACCTCACCCGCCCCCTGCGCCGCTCGTTCCTGCTCATCGTCCCAGGCACACGTCATGACCTCTTTCTCGACTTCAACGCTGCACCGCCTGTGGCCTATCCCAAAACCTCTGTAACCCCCATTACCCCTCCTCCCCCACCCACCCCACCCTCCCACTTCCCTCCATCTGCCAGATCGGTTCCGATGGTGGTTACCTCGCCCGCCCTCTGCGCCGCTCCTCCCTGCTTGTCGTCCCGGGCACGCGCCACGACCTGCTTCTCGACTTCAACGCTGCACCCGGATGGTGCCGCAGTGTCATTGTTGTCAACAGCGCCTCCATCCCCTTCCCCGTGGGAGGGCCTGCTGACTGGTTCACGGGCGTGGTCATGCGATTCATCATCAACCAGCGCTCGCCCGTGAAGCCCCCTGCCCTGCCCAAGAGCCTTTCAGTGAGTGCGTGATTGTGTGTCTTTCTGCCTCTCCAGCTCTCTGTCTGTCTGTCTGCCATGGCGCTCTCTCTTATTCCCCACGGGACAGCCTGCTGACTGGTTCGCGGGTGTGGTCATGCGAATCATTTTCGACCAGCGCTCGCGTGTGAACCCCCCGGCTCTCAACAAGCCAACAGCTCTGCTCAGGAGTCTTTTGGCTCTACCCAACAAGCTTCCGGTGAGTGAGTGAGAGTCTGTCCCCACGGGACAGCCCGCTGACTGGTTCACTGGCTTGGTCATGCGAATCATTATCAACCAGCGCTCGCCGATTAAGGCCCCTGCCCTGCCCAAGAAGCTTTCGGTGAGTGTGTGCATGACTCTCTTTCTGTCCTTCTAGTTCTGTCTGTCTACCAGGCTCTTGCTTGCCTTCACTGTGGTTCACTTCACGGGTGTGTTGTCATGCGATTTATCATCAACCAGCGCTCTCCAATGAAGCCCCCCGCGCTGCCTGCCCAACAAGCTGTCGGTAAGTTCCCCGCCTGTTTTGTTCGGTTGGTTGAGTGAATGCTGACTAGTTCAGGGGGGTGGTGATGCAATGCATCATCAACCAGCACTCGCCTGATGTAAACAGAGTTGTTTGAGACGTCTCAAAACAACTCTGTTTACACGTGGTGATGCGATGCATCATCAACCAGCACTCACCTGTGAAGCCTCCTGCCCTGACCAGCAAGCTTTCCATGAGTCTGTGAAGCCCCTGCCCTGCAAAAGAGTCTGCCGGTGGGTGACTTTTCTCTGTCGGCCGCATGCCTGGCATGTCATACCTGCCGCCCAGTCTAGCATGCATTGGGCGTTACACTCCTCCTTGACTTCCCTCCCTCCCCTCCCCTTTTGAATCCTCTCCGTGCTAGCAGTACACCCCCCTAGTGGACTTTTCCCAAGCAAAACAGCAGCACTTTCTCATGCACTCACTCATTCATTCACTCACTCACTCACTCACTCCCTTCTGTGCCCACCCATTCACTGCTCCCTCCCTCTCGGCAGCACGTCCCCCCGGTGGACCTCTCGCAGTCGGTGAAGCAGCGCTGGCTGACCATAGTGTTTGTGATCGACAAGGCATCACAGAAGCCAAGCGGCATGCTGCTGGATGGCAAGACCTACATGGATCCTGCCACTGAGAAGCCCAAAGTGGTGAGCACAAGACACCCGAGTACACCCATCTGGTAACTGTAAATCTTTATATTTCTTTAGTATTTCTCGGCGTTTTTGCGCAAGTGAAGTAAAATATTTTGCGAGCTCTCCTCTCCTTCCGGATTGCACCTGTGAGAGAACTCCTTGAAACCATCTGATGTGATTTTGTCACTTCTTGCCTTTCATACCCTTTTTTTTTCAGGGCACTTCGGAGCTTTGGCACATCATCAACCCGACATTTGAGACGCACCCCATCCACCTGCACCTCATTCAGCACCGCCCCATCTCCCGCCGTCCAATCAACTCTGGCGGGCTAATCAACGGCACTTGTTCGCTCGCACCATCCTCTCCATTCAAGCCCAGCTGCTTCACGGGGCCGGCCCGGCCTGTGCCGCAGCATGAGAGGGGGTGGAAGGACACCACTGTTGCATGGCCGGATAGCGTTCTCACCATCTTTGTGCCGTTCAAGGGGCAGGTGAGATGCGGTGCAGTCGGGTGGGGAGAAAGGTGGTAGGGTGAAGAACACCACTCTTGCATTCCCAGGTATCATAATTCTGCCATTCAAGGGTAAGGAGGACATGGCTGGTGTTACAACATACAGTAAATCCTTCCTGTATAGTCTGGGGGTTGAACAGGTTGAGGCGTGCATTTGAGACGTCTCAAAAATACCCTCTCTTCAAATACAGTAAGACCTTCCTGTATAGTTTGGGGGTTGAACAGGTTAAGGCGGTGTAGAGGGGGATGGGGAGGAAGGAAGGACAACACTACTGTTGATTCTACCAACATCCTTTTTTCCAGCTCTTTCGACTCGACCATCCAACCCTGAAACCCCGCCTTTTGAACCACTCCTCGCCACACCCTCAAACCCCTCTTCACATGTCCCATTCCTCTTCTCAACCGTGCTGGCAATGCCAAGTTGCCAACCCTCTATTTTTCCTTCTCTGGATCGCCTCGCGTGGCCCCACGTGCAGGATGGCAAGCCGTTCCCGTTTGACGCAACCAAGGGCCCAGGCTATGTGTGGCACTGCCACGCGATGGAGCACGAGGACAACGACATGATGAGGCCGCTCATCATGACATCTTAGATCTACCTACCCACCACATGTGGCTCTGCCGTTTTTCACTCAAAACAAATTTCAAGCATGAAGGCAAAGGCCTTGTTGTGAGGATTCTGATTTTGTCATCAAGTGGCTGTTGTTGACTACAGGGTTGAAGGATGTAGGAGACGCTGGAAAAACACCAGGTCGTTGAAGGCGCTGGAAAAACACCAGAAATATTAGAAGGGGCGAGTTGTTGAAATATTAGAAGGGGCGAGTTGTTGAAATATTAGAAGGGGCGAGTTGTTGAAATATTAGAAGGGGCAAGTTGTTGAAATATTAGAAGGGGCGAGTTGTTGAAATATTAGAAGGGGCGAGTTGTTGAAATATTAGAAGGGGCGAGTTGTTGAAATATTAGAGGGGGCGAGTTGTTGAAATATATGACAGCAGTAGTGTTCTTCCTTTTTCCCCACCCCCCTCTCCAACACCTCATCTGTTTCAACCCTGACCAAACAGGAACTTACCTAAACACCAGGGTATACAGCTCACCTGACTCTTGAACGGCACAAAAACGGTGAGAACAATGTCAGGGAATGCAACAGTGGTGTCCTTCCACCCCCTCTCATGCTGCGAACACTAACTGGGAATGCAACAATGGTGTCCTTCCACCCAACCACCTCCCCCCCCACCACACTGCACCGCATCTCACCTGCCCCTTGAACGGCACAAAGATGGTGAGAACGCTATCCGGCCATGCAACGGTGGTGTCCTTCCACCCCCTCTCATGCAGCGGCACGGGCCGAGCCGGGCCAGTGAAGCAGCTGGGCTTGGAGGAGGCGGGATCGAGCGAACAGGAGCCGTTGATTAGCCCGCCGGAGTCGATCGGACGGCGGGAGATGGGGCGGTGCTGTATGAGGTGCAGGTGGATGGGGTGCGCCTCGAAGCTCGGGTTGACGATGTGCCAAAGCTCCGAAGTTCCCTGGAAAAAAAGGGTACCGGTACCATGTTTGAAAGGCAGGGAGTGACAAAAAGCACACCACAAGCAAAAGCATTAAAACAACTCTTCCAAAGGAGGGGAAGGAAAGGAAATTTAGCAGATTTTTTAGTTCACTTGCACTAAACACCGAGAGATACTAAAAATGTGTATGTAAGTAAGTAATACTAAAACAAGGGGTGTACTTGAGTGTTCTGTGCTCACCACTTTGGGCTTCTCAGAGGCTGGATCCATGTAGGTCTTGCCATCCAACAGCATGGCGCTCGGTTTCTGTGACACCTTGTCGATCACAAACCCTATGGCGAGAAAACGCTGCTCTACTGCCTTATGAGGCGCCTCTAGAGCTCACCACTTTGGGCTTCTCAGTGGCTGGATCCATGTAGGTCTTGCCATCCAACAAGGTGACTTTTAAGTCGACTCAAAAGTCACCTCGGGTAGTCTATGCTTGCTCACCACTCTGGGCTTCTCAGTGGCTGGATCCATGTAGTGCTTGCCATCCAGAAGCATGGCGGTCGGTTCATGCAACGCCTTGTCAATCACAAACACTACGGCGAGAAAACGCTGCTTCACTGCCTGGGAGAGGTCCACCGGGGGGATGTGCTGCATAGGAGGGATGAGTAGTGAGTGGGTGAGCACACAAGGGAAAGAGTGAGTGAGTGAGAGTGAGTGAGTGAGTGAGTGAGTGAGTGAGTATTTGAGTGCTGTCTTTCTGCCTGGGAAAAAGTATATTAAAGGGATGTACCGCAAGCGGGGGAGGAGTTTCAAAAGGGGAGGGAAGGCAAAGAACGCCTGATGCATGCCAAGCTGGGCGGCAGACATGCCAGGCATGCCAAGCTGGGCGGCAGACAGAAAAAGTTACCCACCGAAAGCGTCTTGGGCAGGGAAGACTTACCGACAGCTTGTTGGGCAGGGCGAGGGGCTTGGTTGGAGAGCGCTAGTTGATGGTGAATCGCATGACCACGCAGTCAGCAGGCTGTCCCGTGGGGAAGGGGGGAAACTGCCTGGCAGGTGAGACAGAAACAAGAGTCACACTCACCGAGAGCGTCTCGGGCAAGGGAGGGGGCTTCACAGGCGGCTCCTGGTTGATGATGAATCGCATGACCACGCCCGTGAACCAGTCAGGAGGCTGGCCCCTGGGGAAGGGAATGTTGGCGCTGTTGACAATGATGATGTCACGGCACCATCCGGGTGCAGCGTTGAAGTCAAGAAGCAGGTCGTGCCGCGTGGCCGGGAAGACAAGCAGGGAGGAGCGGCGCAGCGGACGGGCGAGATAGCCTCCGTCAGAACCAATCTGGTTTGTGTTATGGGGAAGGGAAGCAGGACAGGGTGAAGAGGGGTGCAGGTAAGGCACCATCCGGGCGCAGTGTTGAGGTCGAGTAGGAGATCGTGACGCGCGCCCGGGACAACGAGCAGGAAGGAGCGACGCAGCGGGCGGGCGAGGTAACCACCGTCAGAACCAGTCTGGCAGGATGACTGTGCAACGGTAGGGAGGAGAGGGGAATGTTTTGAGACGTCTCAAAACACTTTAATTATCGCGAGGTAACCACCGTCACAACCAATCTGGCAAGATGACTGTGCAACGGTAGGGAGGAGAGGGGAATAAGGGGTGTCAGGAAGTGAGAGACAGGAGAAAGGGTGAACCATTTGAGTGGCATTGAATGATATCATTGTTGCAAGTGCATCTGTAGGGTAATTACCCGTTCGGACATCAACGTCGGAAGCAGCTAGGAGCCTTGTTCTCTCCTCACTAGGTAGAAGGGCAGCAGGGGTCCAGCAAGAGGGGGGTTGAAATTGGAGTCACCACGCGCAGCGCACTGGAAGGTGAGGTTATACGTGCGCGCGTTGGCTGCATTCACCATGCGAATCCGATGCATCGCTCGCCGAACGTTGAGGAACGGCCAGACCTGAGGGAAAACGTTGGGGAAATGACACAATGTGATTGGTCAGAAATGGGGGTGGAGATCCATCACAGTACCACATCGATTTGATCCAGAACAGGCATGCATTGGCAAAAAAAGAAAGAAAGAACAGCAGAAGAAATCATCTCTTTGTCTCACCTTGCTGTTTACAACATTTGCGTTGCCGATATAACCGGGTATCCAGTTCGGGTGCACGTTCGGCACGAGTCCCTGGTTCGGATAATTCATCGACCCGTTGGGAAAAAAGGTCCTGTCAGCAATCACGAGGTGCAATTGCCGCTCGCCACATGGCAGCCATTTCTTGAGCCGCCTCTCCTCGCCCTGCGGGTCGCGCCATTCCCGCGAGCAAGTTCAGCGCGGCCATGCCAATCGTGTGGTCGTGGTACCACAGCATCGTCGCGCGCTGCATGTTCGGATATGTGTGCTCCTGGGATTCGAACTCGGGTCCCTGCTCCCCAAAGGCAGTGTACCATGCCATGGGATGGCTGTCGGATCGGCTTGGCGTCTCCCCGCCATGCCTATGGACGGCTGCGATGAGAGCAAAGTGAACGGAAGCGGTAACAAGGAGGAGTTTCAGGAAAAAGTGAACTGGAGGTCACCACTCTCTGCCTATGGACGGCTGCGATGAGAGCAAAGTGATTGGGTTGTTTGTGAGAATGAGGCGGACCGAAGGGGAATGCTGGAGACGAGACGCGATCAGAATGTTTTGTGAACTAGATGATAACAGTCTGTGCCGCACTGGAAGCTAAATCCACCCCACTGAAACGCCTGAAGTCAATGAAAAGAGTGGAATGAAGTCTACTACCAGCAAAGCCGACCCTCATGATAGAAAGGGGTTGCAAAAGGGGTTGCTATAACCGAGCCTGCAAACGTTATTCTTACTCACATGGTAATAACCATACCGTGGTTATTTCTGACTTACTGATGGGCACACCGCCGTTGGTGAGTTCGGGCACGCTAAGTGTGGGGTCGACCTTGAACATGTGTGTCTTGTCCCTGATGTGATTCACAAACTTCACCTGCCATCGTGAACATGATGTTGAACAAAGGTCTGTTTTGAGTCGATTCAAAACATGTGTGCCTTGTCTCGGATGCGATTCGAGAACTTCACCTGCGATCGTGAACATGATGTTGAGCAAGTGAGCAATCTAATGAGCTTAGCTTCGAGTGAATCAGGGACATCGCTGAAGAGAACAGGTTGAGATCAATAAGGGAGAAAGGGTTGATGTGATTGGTGACAAGTAGCTGCATCCTACATTAGTCAGTGGAACGTTAAGCTAGCTAGCAACAACACCGTATATCAGCACATCGAGACAACCATCAGCGCTTACATAAAAAGAACGATTCTTTGGAAGCAGATGAGACTCTTTGGAAGCTCTCAAATAGAATGATTCTTCCGTTCCGCCAAGGTGCAGAAAAGCAGCATTGATTACAGGAACTGAAGACTGCAATGTCTTGATTGGCGCAAACCACTACGCCCGACTGAGACTGAAGTGTATTTTGAGGCGCCTCAAAATACACCAGACTGCAAATGTCTTGATTGGCGCAAACCACTGCGCCCGACTGAGACTGACAGCGGCTGACCGGGTCAGCCCATTGGTACTACCGCGCCTTGCTGGTGCTCACCTTGCTGATGCTCACCTTGCTGGTGCTCACCTTGCTGGTGCTCACCTCGCTGGTGCTCGTGATGCCGCGCTCACCTTGGTGGTGGTGCCGCGTGTGGCGACGAGCACGGGGCCTGGGTAGCGCGCCGAGCTGCGGGAGGCGCCGTACGCATACACCTTGGTGTTGGGCAGGTCGCGATGGAACTTCTGCTCGCATTGGGCAGGCGGAGTGGGGGGGGGGCGGGATGGGTTGGGGAGAGGGAAGAATCGAAAGGGGAGGGGAACGTGTGAGCTGCGGGAGGCGCCGCACGCATGCACCTTGGTGTCGGGCAGGTCGCGATGGAACTTCTGCTTGTTGGGAGGGGGGACGGGGGGGTTGGGGAAGTTTGGGGGGGGGGGGGAGGGTGGGGGGTGTGAGAGGCGGAAGGCGGGAGGGCGGATTGGTGTCGGGCAGGTCGTGGTGGAACTTCTGCTCGCATTGCGGGCCGGGGGGAGGCAGAACAGCATCGGTAAAAAAAGTTTGCTCCCAAAAGCATCCTGAAACCATCTCGCCAGAGACTTTCCAACCATCAGCAAAATTTCGAACTATCCCAGATGAGTCTTTTGGGAATTCTGCCTGCGGTGACAGATCAAAGAGTCTTAGATCTGTCACGCAGGACTCTTTGACACCAGCCTGAAAGACGGGCGGGAAAGGGGGGTTGGGGAGGCTGAAGGCGGGAGGAGGGGATTGGTGTGGGTTTCCAAAAATGCAGAACCATTATTGTAACACCGGTGCCACCGTTAGCATGTTTTCACAAACACCGTGATTTTCATTGCTTGAATGACTGGCATCTGAGTTGTGAGCGCCGCAGGCGTCAAACGGCCGTCAGATTCCAGGCCTGGTACCTTCCAGGCACCCGCCATTTCTCAATGTGATACCTTGGCTTGGAGGCACCACAACGCGGCTGAGCCATGAGACAGCAATGGCACTCGCCTGGTAGACGTCATACGCGCCGAGTTTGATGGTCTCGCCGGCCGGCGCGTCGAGGAAGGTGAGCGGCGACGCGGCGAGGTCGTCGACGAACTTACACAGCGGCTTCTGCGGAAACCGGTTCACGCACCGCGGCCCCGCCAGGGGTTGCGCGCGCGCTGTCAGCAGGGCCGGCATCCGCGCCGGAATCGCCGGGTCGCAATCATCAGTGCCTCCGAGGCCGACGCTGAGAAGCGGCAAGGCGAGCGTGCAGAGGCGCGCGAGCATGGTGAAACGCATCTTGGCGGTCCGAGTCACCGTGACGCGGCCTGCAAGGCGCCGTGCCGGTGTGCAAATGCCACGCGCGCGTCGCGGCGAGAGTTGAGATTGAGGTAGCCGCGCCGCGCTGCTTGGTTAGTAATAATAATCGCTGCACGTTTCGATCTTGGCCTTCACATTTTTAGCACGAGTCGTGCTGCAGCCACCAGAGCGATGGCTCGTACCTACTTGACTGCCGGCCACTACGCCCAGACCAGCTCGGCTCTGAGAGCCTCTTTTTGAGAAGAAATGAGACGAGTGGTTTGGGGGTCGCTCTCATTTTCACGCTCCACGCTCTCATTTTGAGCGACGCAGTGCTTCTTCCGCGACAGCATGACTCTTACTCCACTCTCGGCGCCGGTTTCTGTAGCACTGGCCGATCCCTCTTCGGGACCGGTCATTGCGACTCACGCCACTACCCTTCCGTGCCCAGCTGCCCTTTCCGGTTCTCTGACCGGCCTCCACGTTCCTACTTTCTCTAGGAACCTGGTTGGTGTGGCTCCTCTGGCGAGATAGCACGTCGGGGTCTGGTTTGAGCCTTCGGGTGACACTGCAGTCTGTGTGGACGGTGACACGTACGCCCCTCTGGCCACTTTTCGTCAGGAGCCGGGCTCTGGTCTGTACACCCTCCACACCGACACCCGTCCGGTTCCCCCGTCCCACCAGGTAGCCAGGTCCAGTCAAGTAGCTGTGCCAGGTCTAGTGGCTGCGTCGTGCTCATGTCGGTCGCTGTCCCACCCTGCCCTCCTCTGGCACCACCGCCTTGGTCACCCGTCCCTCTCTCGTCTCCGCGCTATGTCCAGTCAGCGTCTTGTCTTAGGCCTCCCCCGCGACCTCCCGCCGCTCCCGCCGTCCCCCGCTCCTCCGTGCGGTCCTTGTGTCCAGGGTCGGCTGCGCGCCACTCCTCACTCCTCCTCCCTTCGTCCAGCCTCCGAGCCCTTTGAGACACTCCACTTAGACGTCTGGGGCCCCGCTCCACGGCTTGGACCTGAGCGAGAGAGCTTCTTCCTAGTGGTCGTTGACGACTACTCTCGGTACATCACCGTGTTCCCTTTGGCGAAGAAGTCCGACGTGACTTCTACGCTGATCCGGTGGCTGCTCGCCACCGAGAGTACTCGTCGTCGTCGTGTCAGTTGTCTCCACTCCGACCGTGGGGGTGAGTTTCGCTCCGGCATTCTCGCCAGATTCTGTGCTGAGCAGGGCATCACCCAGTCCTGGACTCTTCCAGACTCTCCACAACAGAATGGGGTTGCTGAGCGCCGGCTAGGCCTGGTCATGGAGATTGCCCGCACCTCCATGATCCACGCACGCGCGCCCCATTTTCTGTGGCCCTACGCGGCTCGGTACGCCGCTCACCAGCTGAACCTCTGGCCTCGCGTCTCTCGGCCAGGGGCTTCACCGACCAGTCTTTGGACAGGGTCCCCTGGTGTTGCGTCGAGGTTTAGTGTCTGGGGCTGCTTGGCGCTTGTCCGCGACACCTCTTCAGACAAGCTCTCACCTCGCGGCGTCCCCTGTGTCTTCCTTGGTTTCCCTGAGGCCTCCTCTGACTTCACCTTTTACCACCCTCCCTCCCACCGGTTCTTTGACTCTCGTGACGTCAGTTTCGACGAGTCCGTCCCCTACTTCGTCCGGTACCCCTGTCGAGGTCTCCCGGTTCCCCCCCCTCCCCTCTTCCTCGCCCCAGCTCCTCCTCCTCCCGCTCCCTCTCCTCCGGTACCCCCCCCGGTTCCCGCTCCGTCAGGTGTGTCGCAGGCTACCCCCCCTCCCTTGGTCCCCCCCCAGGTCTCTCCTCCTTCCCCACAGTCGTCCTCACAGCCTCCGCAGCAGCCGTCGGCGCTTCCTCTCCCGGCCACTGCGGACTCTGAGGGTGTTGGTGCTCGAGGTGAGGGCTCTGGCGGTGCTGGTTCTGGGGGTGTTGGAGTTGGAGCTGAGCGTGCACCTGCCGCAGCTGCACGTCCCGAGCGTGTTGGAGTCGGTGGTGGTGCTGGAGCTGGTGGTGTTTCTGGAGCTGGAGAGTCTGGGGGTGGTGCTGGTGCCACTGGCGGCGCCACGACTGGGGGTGCGGGTACACCTCCTACAGGTACTGGTCGTGCTGCCGCAGGGGGTCCTCGCTCTGGGGGTGCTCAGCCGGGTCCTGTCGAGGGTGGAGCCGGTTCTTCTTCGTCGTCTCCTGACACCACTCCTCCTCCTCACCCCTACCCGACTCGTTACCAGGCCCTTCGTCGTCTAGAGCGTGAGGAGCAGCAGCGTTTGGAGCGTGAGAGGTCGGAGGTTCAGCAGCGGGTGGAGCGTGAGCGGTTGGAGTTTCAGCAGCAGCAGCAGCAGCAGCCGCAGCCACAGCCACAGCAGCAGCAGCAGCAGCAGCCGCCGCAGCTGCCGGAGCAGCCTCCGGCCCCTGTTTCTGGCCTTCGGGCCCTTGGTCTCCCCTCCTCTCCTCCTGTGTTCGGTCCCACGTTTCCTCCTCCGGACTCCACTCCGGCTGTCTTCCCTCGTTCTCAGTCTCCTCCGTTCCCCCCTCCTCTCGCCCACACTTGGGCCTCTCGCCCTCCTCGTGCTCGTCCCTCGTCCCCTGTCACTGACCTCCGTACCGTGTTGTTTCGTCGTCGTCCTCCTCGTTCTTCTCCGTCTGTCCTTCCTCGTCCTCCTGAGTCTTCCCTCACTGCCTCCCTGTCCACTCCGGTCACTGACTACTACCGCACGTACCGCCCCACTCTCTCTCGTGTTCTTGCCTCTCTTGTTACAGACCCTCGTGCCTCTCCTTCCTCCATCGCGGTCCTCACTACCGCTGTCACTGACTTTACTGCTACGCGTCGCCTTGACTACGCCACTCGAGTTGTGGCAGCTCCTCCTGTCCGTCCTCTGTCCGCCGGGGGTGTGTGTGCCCTTGGCTGTGACGTCCTAGAGGACAGACAGTTTGAGCTAGAGTTCCTGGCAGCTGCTTCGCCTCATCTCTGTGCCATGCTGCTCACTCCTGAGGGAGACCCCGACGCTCCTGACATACCTACTCCTCGCACTTACGCTGAGGCAGTGTCAAGGCCTTGGGCCTCTCATTGGAGAGCTGCCATGGACGCAGAGATGGCCTCCTACAGGTCCACAGGCACTTACGTTGACGAGGTTCCCCCCCCAGGGGCGAACATTGTTGACGCCATGTGGATCTTCAAGGTGAAGCGGCCGCCGGGATCTCCCCCAGTCTTCAAGGCACGCTACGTGGCTAGAGGGTTCAGTCAGCGCGAGGGGGTTGACTTCTTTCAGACCTTCGCGCCCACCCCGAAGATGACCACTCTTCGGGTGTTACTGCACGTAGCAGCGCAGAGAGACTACGAGCTACACTCTCTTGACTTCTCCACTGCCTTCCTCCAGGGCTGCTTACACGAGGAGATCTGGCTGCGTCGTCCTCCGGGCTTCACTTGCACTTTCCCGCCTGGGACCCAGTGGAGCCTCAGACGACCGGTCTACGGTCTCCGCCAGGCACCCCGTGAGTGGCACGACACTCTCCGCTCTTCTCTCTCCGACCTCGGGTTTGAGCCGTCTTCCGCCGACCCGTCGCTGTTTGTTCGTCGTGGCCGTACACCTTTCTTCGTCCTATTCTACGTTGACGACTTGGTTTTTGCCACGGCCGACACAACTGCACTGGCGGAGGTGAAGTCCGAACTGCAGAAGAGACACACCTGCACTGACCTTGGGGAACTGCGCCGCTACCTTGGCCTGCAGATCTCCAGGGACAGAGCCGCTCGCACCATCACTCTCACTCAGTCACACATGGTGCAGCAGGTTCTTCAGCGGTTCGGGCTTCAGGACTCTTCTCCTGCCCCCACTCCTCTTGCTGTAGACCACAGACTCACTGGGCCTTTTCCTGACGAGCCGTTCGAGCCCAGTGGTCCCTACGCAAAGCTAGTGGGCTGCCTCATGTACCTGATGACGTGCACTCGCCCGGACCTCGCCTTCCCCCTTAGCATCCTGTCTCGCTTTGTTGCGACTGGGAGACACCGTCCTGTTCACTGGGCGGCGGCTAAGAGGGTGGCGAAGTACCTTGGCGCGACATCAGGCATGGGGCTTGTACTTGGAGGGACACAGCCAGTTTTACTCATCGGTCACTGTGACTCTTCCTACGCTGACGACGTTGAGACTCAGAGGTCTACGCAGGGTTACTGTTTCAGCCTGGGTTCTGGAGCTGTTTCGTGGAGGTCTACTCGGTCCTCCTCTGTTGCGACTTCTACCGCAGAGGCCGAGATCTACGCTGGGGCCCTTGCTGCTCAGGAGCTACGCTGGTTGACCTTTTTGCTCACTGACCTTGGTGAGCGGCCGAGCTCTGCACCGACCCTGTTTGCTGACAACAGGGCGATGATTCTCCTGTGTCGTGAGCCTCGACTGGAGAGCCGAGTGAAGCACATCGACGTCAGGTACTTCCTCCTTCGAGAGTTGCAGAGACGCGGACAGGCTCGTCTGGACTTTGTGGCCTCCGAGGCCAACACTGCAGACATCTTCACCAAGGCCCTCCAGCCTTGTGACCACCGTCGGTTTTGTCTGCAGTTAGGCCTCGTTGAGACTGGGTCTAGTTGACTGCTGTAGGGTGCTCTTTGTCTGTTGCTTGCTTGTACCTTATATATATATTTATTTGTTTGCACACTTTTGGACTGGCCTTGTGGCCCTTTGCTTGTGCTCAGATTAGGTGGTGACGTTGTGATCCACCCTGAGCTTTGTTTTCTTTCTCTTGTTTTTGACTGGTCTTGTGACCGTAGGTTGCTTGTTGTTGATTGGCCTTCCCCACTTAGGCTATGGGGGTGTGTCAAATATTATAGCCTGTAGTGGGTTGGGCTATATGGGGTACAACTAGTTAGGGTTAGGTGATGTACCCCAATTCTGTCAACACAACGCATTCCGCTGTAGTTCTCATTCTGACATCCCCCAGCGCACACTTGTCAGAATCCCAGTTACTAGACCACTGGGATAAAAGGGCTTGTTTCAGTAGCGGGTCAGTGGGCCCATAACCCCCCAGGCGAACGCGCCTGTAACCCTCTCCAGGATCAATCGGGCATCCACAGTGCAGATCTACTGACAACACTCACTCCCCCAGCGCACACTCACTCTCCCAGCGCGCATTCGCTCCCCTCGCGCGCAATTGCTCCCCCCGTGAGCAATCGCTCCCCCCGCGCGCACTCGCTCCCCCCGCGCGCACTCGCTTCCCCCGCGCGCACTCGCTCCCCCCGCGCGCACTCAATCCCCCCTTGCTCACTCGCTTTCCCCGCGCGCACTCGCTCCCTCCGCGCGCACTCGCTCCCCAGCGCGCATTCGATCCGCGCGCACTCGCTCCAGCACCGCGCATTCGCTCCCCCCGCACGCACTCGCTCCCCCCGCACGCACTCGCTCCCCCACCGCGCATTCGCTCCCCCCGCACGCACTCGCTCCATTCGCTCCCCCCGCGCACTCGCTCCCCCCGCGCGCACTTGCTCCCCCCGTGCGCATTCACTAGCCCCGCACGCACTCCCTTTTCCGCCGGCATGCACGCACCTCCCTGCATTCCTTCCTTTCCGCCCCTGCATCCCCTCATTTCCCTCCCTGCATCCCCTCCTTTCCCTCCCTGCATCCCCTCATTTCCCTCCCTGCATCCCCTCCTTTCCCTCCCTGCATCCCCTCCTTTCCCTCCCTGCATCCCCTCCTTTCCCTCCCTGCATCCCCCCTTTCCCTCCCTGCATCCCCTCCTTTCCCTCCCTGCATCCCCTCCTTTCCCTCCCTGCATCCCCTCCTTTCCCTCCCTGCATCCCCTCCTTTCCCTCCCTGCATCCCCTCCTTTCCCTCCCTGCATCCCCTCCTTTCCCTCCCTGCATCCCCTCCTTTCCCTCCCTGCATCCCCTCCTTTCCCTCCCTGCATCCCCTCCTTTCCCTCCCTGCATCCCCTCCTTTCCCTCCCTGCATCCCCTCCTTTCCCTCCCTGCATCCCCTCCTTTCCCTCCCTGCATCCCCTCCTTTCCCTCCCTGCATCCCCTCCTTTCCCTCCCTGCATCCCCTCCTTTCCCTCCCTGCATCCCCTCCTTTCCCTCCCTGCATCCCCTCCTTTCCCTCCCTGCATCCCCTCCTTTCCCTCCCTGCATCCCCTCCTTTCCCTCCCTGCATCCCCTCCTTTCCCTCCCTGCATCCCCTCCTTTCCCTCCCTGCATCCCCTCCTTTTCCGCCCTGCAACCCCTCCTTTCCCTCCCTGCATCCCCTCCTTTCCCTCCCTGCATCCCCTCCTTTCCCTCCCTGCATCCCCTCCTTTCCCTCCCTGCATCCCCTCCTTTCCCTCCCTGCATCCCCTCCTTTCCCTCCCTGCATCCCCTCCTTTCTCCCCCTGCATCCCCTCCTTTCTCCCCCTGCATCCCCTCCTTTCTCCCCCTGCATCCCCTCCTTTCTCCCCCTGCATCCCCTCCTTTCTCCCCCCTGCATCCCCTCCTTTCTCCCCCTGCATCCCCTCCTTTCTCCCCCTGCATCCCCTCCTTTCTCCCCCTGCATCCCCTCCTTTCTCCCCCTGCACTCCATCCCCTTCTTTCCCTCCCTGAATCCTCTCCTTTACCCCCGGCATCTCCTCCTTTCCCCCCCTGAATCCCCTCCTTTCCCTCCCTGCATCCCTCCCCTTTCACATCCTGCCTCCCTCCCTTCCCTTGCATGCCCTCCTCTCCCCCCTCACTCACTCGTAACCGTCTTCCCTCTAGAAGTTGTGCATGTAGTGCCATCACTTGCTTAAATTTCTTTGTTGCTTCTCCCCTCCTGCCTCACGGCACCTTCCCATTGGGCCTTACACAACCGTTTTTGCCTACTCTGCTAGTTGGCTGTGTTGAAACAGAGGGCAGCAGTTACCGTACAAGCAGAGGCCTAGCTAGTGGATGTTTGTTACCACTTTTGTTTTGTCCCGTGTGCATTGTGCATTGTAATGCAAGTATGGTAGTGAGTTATTCCCAGAGATATGCGTCATGAAGGAGCCCACTACGTACTACCACGATTCAGCAGTGAAATTTATCCTTCCGAGATGCATGGACAGGTGTCACATCACATACGGGTGGAAAGAAACATGTTCTCATCTAACTTTGGACTGTAGGCAAAGGCCAAGAGGAGCAATACCATACTATTGACCCTTTCTCTATGCCTTTGGCAACAAATATTAGCTCCTTTGGCATGAGATGATGGGGTGAGGCATGTTGAAGCTTGAAATCTTCAGAGCAGTCAGTCACTGAAATTGTCAGGGAAGGGGAAAGAATCTGAGGGCGGGGAATAAGAAAATGGTCATGGTTCAACCACAGGCTGTGATGAGGGGAATCAGGGAGAAAATGATGGGAATCAGGGGGAACTGAGGGAAATCAAGGGGGGAGGAAATGAGGGGAATTAACGGGGGGGAGGATGAGGGGAATAAAGGGGGGAGGGGAGGGGGATATGAGGCGAATCAAGGGGGGGGGGGGGAATGAGGGGAATCAGGGGGGGATATGAGGGGAATCAGGGGGGGGGGGGGGAATGAGGGGAATCAGGGGGGGATATGAGGGAAATCAGGGGGGGGGGGGGGGGGATGAGGGGAATCAGCGGGAGAAATGAGAGGAATCAGGCCGGGGAGGAGGGTGAGGGGAATCAGATGGAGAAGTGAGGAGAAGCAGGCTTTGGAGGGCATGTGAGGAAAAGCACATTGAGATCGCTTCCATCGTAGGGGGGACGGCAGGGAAGGTAACAAGAGGGAATAGTATAGCAGGGAGGCCTGCGGAGGGCACAGTGAGGAAGGGAAATGAGGGGAAGCAGGGGAGAAAATGATGAGAGGCAGGAGGGGGCGGGGGAGAAGTGAGGAGAAGCAGGGAAAGGTTTACAGAGGATGCAGGGAGGGGAGATGGGGATGCAGGGAGGGGAGAGAGGTATGCAGGGCGGGAAGATGGGGATGCAAGGAGGGGAAGGGAAGAGGGGTTGAGAAGATGGGGAGGCGGGAGGGAAGGGAGGGAAGGGAGAGAAGGGAGGGAAGGGAGGGAAGGGAGAGAAGGGAGGGAAGAGAGAGAAGGGAGGAAAGGGAGAGAAGGGAGGGAAGGGAGAGAAGGGAGGGAAGGGAGAGAAGGGAGAGAAAGAAGGGAACAGAGGGAACGGAGGGAAGGGGGGAAGGGAGGGAAGGAAGAGAAAGGAGGGAAGGGAGACAAGGGAGAGGGAAGGGAGGGAAGAGAGGGAAGGGAGAGAAGGTAGGGAAGGGAGAGAAGGGCCGGAAGGGAGAGAAGGGGGGGAAGGGAGAGAAGGGAGGGAAAGGGAGGGAGCGGAGAGAAGGGAGGGAAGGGAGGGAACGGAGAGGAGGGAGAGAAGGGAGGGAACGGAGAGAAGGGAGGGAAGATGGGGAGGCGGGAAGGGGAATGGGAAGGCAGAAAGGGAAAATGGGGATGCGGGAAGGGAAGAACGGGATGGGAGGGAAGCGATGGGAGGCAGGGAAGGCAGGGAGTCAGGGAAGCGAGGGAAGGGAGTGAAGGGAGGGTAGGCAGGGAAGGCAGGGAAGGCAGGGAAGGCATAGAAGGGAGAAAAAGGAAGGTAAGGAAGGTAAGGAAGGTAAGGAAGGTAAGTGTAACGGATCTGATAATAAAAAGGGCATTTACCCACTTAATAATAGGTTCTAACACAACCAGAGAATGGCAGCTCCTGGAAAACGACTAAGTCTGAGAGTTGCTGGGAGATGCAGTAACAAACTGTGGAGGGTGAGTTGAGAGAAAGCAATCCTATTTCCCAATTGATTAGTTGGGAGTAGGAAATGAAGAATGAGCCCAAAGGCCTCAGACCCCTTCCCTAGACCCCCTTGGGGTGCAGCCACCTTCCCCATGGCAAGGAAGGGTGCACCACCATGGGCCTTGCCCATGTGGCAAAGGTTGATCCTTCTTACTCAATGACATGGCACAAAGGAATAAAATGCAGTGTATGCAATATGTTATCCATACCTGTCATGTTCTAACTGGTTGCAATTCCAACGCAAGAGTTGCGTTGGACTTCGAATGTTTGTGATTGGCTGTAATTCCAACCAGCGGCGAGAAACTTCTCAACTCACTTTGTATAAAAGTGTTCTGATTGGTTGGCTTGCCAACCAGTCCGTTTCCCCGCTTTTCAACCAGTTCATTTCCCTTTTCATCTTCCCAACCCAGGTTCAATGTATCGAGACTCTGGGCTGGTTGGGATATCGAGATTACACTCCTCCCCCTCCAGCTGGCAACGTCCCCGTTGCCGTGGGGTGCTTCTTAGGACGAGTGCCACGAGCACGACGAACCACATTACGACCAGGGTCAACACCATCCGCTGGTTGTGGGAGTGCTCGCTGAGCCAGGTCTTCCATGTAAGACTGAACCGCAGTATCAGTCAAATGTTCTTCCGGCTCCCATGAGTTGTGTTCAGGCCCAAGCCTTTCCACTTAATGAGGAACTCTCGTACAGTCTTGCGGCCGCGTTGTCGATCACGATGCAAAAGCACTCGTTCGACTTCATAGTACAGTTCCTCCCCTAGGACGATTGTTGGTGGTGGTAAGTACTTGCCCTCTGCAACGTACTTGCTTAACAGAGACACATGGAAGACATTGTGAATCTGCAGGGTATCAGGTAGCTTGAGTTTGTAAGCTACCGCACCAACTCGTTGAACGACCTCGAAGGGCCCAATCCAGCGAGGGAACAACTTTCTCGCACCAGGGATCTTAAGCCGAATATTCTTCGTGCTTAACAAAACTTTGTCTCCAACGGAGAATGATACTTCCCGGCGTTTCATGTCGGCATAGGATTTTTGCCTTTGTTGGGCTAATTGCAGCCAACGACGTGCCGACTTTAGGGCCTCTCATTGCTTGCCCACAAAATCCTTTGCGGCAGGTAATTTCAAACCGCCGATCCCATGCGTAGCAGGTGTTGTGGGATGCCGACCACAGTTCAGGATAAATGGTTTTTCATGTGTGCTATCATGCACTGAGTTGTTAACCGCAAACTCGACCATGGGTAACAACTCGTCCCAATTGTCCTGTGTTGGGCTTATGAAAGAACGAAGCATCTGCTCGAGAGTGCGGTTAGTTCGTTCCGTTTGCCCATCTGTCTGGGGATGGAAAGCTGATGACATCTTAAGCTTCGTTCCTAGTGTCTCGGTTACTTCACGCCAGAACCGGCTCGTGAAGCGCGGGTCGCGATCAGACACCAATACACGTGGCAATCCGTGTAGGCGGAACACATGTGTCACGAACAACCGAGCAGTATCCTCTGCCGACACGTCTGTTGTCGTGAGTACTAAGTGCACCATTTTTGTAAGGCGATCTACAAAGACGAGTATCGCCGTATACCCGTCACGGGTTCTTGGGAGGTCGGTGATGAAATCCAGTGAAACGCTTTCCCAAGGTTCACTCGGAATTTCAAGTGGTTGAAGCAAACCACCAGGCTTCTGTGTGTCCGGTTTGTTACGTGCGCACGTGTCGCAACGTGCCACAAACTGTTGGACATCACTACCAACTCCTGGCCACCAATACACATCTCGTAGGGCCCATCGGGTCTTATTCATGCCCAAGTGTCCCCCATATTTAGTGGCATGCACCTCTTCCAAAATATCGTTCCGCAGATTGCCTACATGAGGTACCGCAATCTCTTTTGTTCGCCACCAAAGATCGTGTTCCCATGTCAAATTTCTGGTGTTTTGTGGGTTCTGGAACCAGGAATCAATATGATATCCTGTACGAATTCGTTTCAGAAAACCAGTGAACGCGATCTCGCTCACTTTCGCCGCAGCTAGTATGCCAAAACAGGCAGCAAAAACAGTCGCGTGTTCGGTATCGTCAAGCCCAGTTGCTGCCCCTATCGGCTGTCTGCTGAGGGGGTCAGCCAGGTTCGTGGAACCTGCACGATAACGTATGTCGAAACTGAACCCACTAAGGAGTTCAGCCCAACGGGCCTGACGGCGAGTGAGGGTAGCTTGGGTAGAAAAATATGTGTTCGGACAATGGTCAGTGGTGACCACGAACTCTACCCCTTCCAAGTAACATCGCCATGTTCTTAGCGCATGCACGACAGCCAATAACTCTTGTTCGGTCGTCGTGTAGCGTTGCTCTGCCGGGGAGAGCTTTCTACTCTCAAATGCCACAGGGCGTCCTTCTTGCAGGAGTACTGCACCAAGTCCCACCGTCGAGGCGTCTGTAACCACCTCATATGGTTTCTGTGGGTTTGGCAACACCAAAACTGGTGCGTTGGTTAATTTATGCTTGACCTCTTCGAAGGCCTTTTGGCACTGTGGAGTCCACTCTTACGTGCACCCTTTCCAGGTCAATGCCGTGAGGGGTGCGACTATCGTGGAATAATTTTCCAAGAAGCGACGAAAATAATTCGCCAGGCCCAGGAATGATCGGACTTGGCCAACGTCACGTGGGACGGGCCACTCCTGGACAGCTGCTACCTTCTTGGGGTCCACTTTCAGACCGTTGTGCCCCACTACGTGCCCCAAATACTCCAGCTCGCGTTTGTAAAAATGACATTTCCACAAACGTGCGTAGTATTTGTGCTCGCGTAATTTTTTTGAGGACCCATTTTAGGTGTTCAGTATGCTCATCTTCGGTTTTTGAGTATACCAGGATATCATCGAGGTACACCAGGACGAACTGGCCAATCGCATCACGAAAAACATCGTTCATCGCCCTCTGGAAAGAGGCCAGAGCGTTGGTCAAGCCAAAACTTAACACACGCCACTGAAAATGGCCGAACGGCGAACGGAAAGCCGTCTTTGGAACATCGTCCTCTGTTATACGCAATTGGTGATAGCCTTGTGCCAAGTCCAGTGCACTGAACCATTGCGCACCCTGTAGTCGATCAAATAAATCTTCTATGCGCGGAAGTGGATATCTGTTTTTTATCGTAATTTTATTCAGGGCTCAATGATCGACGCACATGCGCAGTCCACCTCCCTTCTTGTGAACAAACAAGATAGGTGCTCCATATGGGGACGCGCTAGGTTCTATCCATCCCTTCCTGAGGTACTCCTCAATCTGTTGTTTAGCCTCCTCGTACTCAGCTGGACTGAGGCGATACAGAGGTCTAAATGGTGGTGCCTTTCCTGGTTCCACCGGGATGGTGTGGCCAACTGCACGGTCGGGGGGTAACCCGTCCGGAATTGGTTCGAAAACCTCGGAATATTCCTCTGCCAACGCCTTCATTTGAGGTGGAAAGTCCTCAATAATCTGTGAAGGGGTTGGTTCAGAGTCCAGCTGTACAACAAAAAGTGTATCAGCTCCCTTGACATGCTCTTTGAATTGGAGAGCCGACGCAAAGCGCACATCAAGAGCCAGGCTTTGAGGTTTGTCGTCCAGTGCATGGCGCTTTGGGACTTGCCATTGAAACGCCGTCCCATTCTTTGTGAATGAAAGCGTGTTATCTTGGAAATTTAATATCACCTCATTAAGCCGCAGCCAATCCATTCCCAAGACAATGTCTACGCCTGCTAGGAGGGGTAAGACAAAAACACTGATGGTCTCCTGATATCCTTGGATATCCAGGTTGACCAACGCATGTCTGTGAAAGGAATGAACAGGAATGAATTGACTAAGTCAGAGTTGGGTACAAATACAACCCTAGCAAACTGTACCCCATATGTGCTACCCCACTATAGCCTACAAACATGCATCAGCTATAATAATCTGACACACCCCCATAGGCAAAGTGGGGGAGAACAAGGGGTCACAAGACCAGTCAAGCAAAGCAAAGCAAGCTCAGGGTGGATCACAAAGTCACCACACAGTCCGAGCACAAGAGCAAGGCCAGAGGCCAGTTCACATGCAGGAGTACAGACATATATATAAAACTAGACAAGCAAGAACAGGTATATATATGTCAAAGTACAAGTAAAGTCAAGAAGAGAGCAAGTGAGGCAAGACAGGTACAAGACCCAGCTGGGTACAAAAGCGCTGATGGTCGCAAGGCGCAAGTGCCTTGGTGAACACATCAGCAGTGTTGGCCTCAGAGGCCACGTAAGCAAGTCGCAACTGACCACGCTGCTGCAGCTCACGAGCAAGGAAGTAGCGGAGAGCAATGTGCTTCGTTCTGTGCTCCAAGCGCTGCTCTCGACACAAGGCCAACATGGCCTTGTTGTCTACGTACAGCACTGGAGGAGAACGAGGCAGCTCTCCAAGGTCAGTCAGCAGGTAGGTGAGCCAGCGAAGCTCCTGTGCAGCCATGGCCCCGGCGTAGATCTCAGCCTCACAATTGGAGCCGAGAACCGAAGACGAGCGAGTAGACCGCCACGAGACAGAGCCGGAACCAAGGCTGAAGGTGTAACCCTGTGACGACCGCTGCGTAGCCTGGTCGTCAGCCCAAGAAGCGTCTGCGTGCCCAGTAAGGACCACTGGACTCCGCCCTCCAAGCACTAGCCCCATGCCCGACGTACTGCACAGGTAGCGCAATACCCTCTTCGCTGCAGCCATGTGCTCTGGTCGGTGTCTCCCAGGAGCAACATAGCGTGCAAGGATGCTCAGAGGGTATGCAAGGTCAGGTCGTGTGCAGGTCATCAGGTACATGAGGCAGCCAACAAGCTCTGCATACGGACCACTCGACTCTACGGACTCATCCGAAGGCAGAGCTGAGAGTGAGTGGCGAGTAGGCAGAGGAGTGGCCTGAGGCGAGGAGTACGTGAAGCCGAAGCGCTGAAGGACCTGCTGCACCATGTGTGACTGAGTCAGGGTAATGGTGCGGCGTGCTCTGTCCCGAGTGATCTGCAAGCCAAGGTAGCTGCGCAGTTCACCCAGGTCTGTGCACGTGTGTCTCTTCAGCAGCTCGGACTTCACGTAGGCGAGTCCAGCAGTGTCCGCTGTGGCAAAGACCAAGTCGTCGACGTACACGAGGATGTAGAACGGCGGCAGGG